AAAATGGGAAAAATCGGTATCGGCAAATTGTCAAAATCAAATGATCGGAATCGGATCGGGAGCAAAAAAAGGTGATCGGGACATCCCTAGTTAAGAGTACTTTTCCTCTGGATCGATGTGTCGTCTGCACGTTCCAACAGGACAGCAGACTGTGTTTTATTAAATCTCCATCAACTCAACACAGATCAGACTCTTCTTGGACTATTTCATCTGTTCTCTGTCCTGTATATGTTCATGTTGCTCTGCTGGGGGAGCCTGGGACCTTTCTTCATTGCCGTATCTACACTGGGGCCATGATGAATCATATTCTCATCAAACCACGGAGACACTGAGGAGTTTGTGTTCTTAAAGCTAATCAAAGACAAACTCTCTGGAAGGAATGAGAGCCCCCGAGGCGGTTTAGTTTTTATGATAGAGATTTAATAAAACAATATGTGATGGCCTGTTGGAACGTGCAGACGACATATCGATGAGGGCAATGACGTCAGTCCAGAGGAGGAATGTGGCTTTAGTGCATTGTGTACGAGTACTCAGCTTAAGGTTCATCTCGAGTATTAACCGCTTTTTACTTCTGCTCCACTGCTTCTCCGAGGTAACAACCTTTTTAGGTACTTTTTAAATAAATAACTTGATGTGTTTGTCTGATATATATATACTTCTAATCTACTCCATAGTTACACATAGTATGCAGACTTTCTCAGACTCTTTGTTTCGGATCTTGTTTGAAGAAATGTTTACCGTATGACTCTAAATTGTAATATTTAAAGATCAGATTTGGGGTTTTGCAGGATCTCTTGCAGCCGGATTGGCTTTTCTTCCAATTATTCTCAAAGCAAACAGAAACAAACAACAAGTGTACATGTTAAACACTTCAAACCCACATAAACCCGACACAGCAGCATACAAACAGACAATATCAATTGCTGCCCTGTATGCACGAGGGAACAAGCTGATAATACTCTGAACTAAATACCATCTTGAACTCAGGACTAAAGTACTTTCTTTTGTGTTACTACTTTGACTTCAGTATAGTATCTATATACTTCCTCCACTGCTGTATGTATTATACCCAGCTTAACGCCACATGGACCTTGTTGATTCTGCTGCAGGAAATCAGGGCTTTGTGTCCCTGCATGCTGCCTCATAGTATGGGTGGAGAGACTGTTGATGGAGCTCTGGAGGTGGAGGAGGCCGGTTGGTTTTCACCCAGGCAGCGGAGCCCTTTTGTGGGGCAGGAATGTGCCGTGCGTGCCTCTCAGCTGGTCCCCCCCAGCAGGGCACGTTAGCACGCAGCCACCGCAAATTGCTTGCACATTTTTCACACATAGTAACGTGCTGGTTTGTGAACTCGGAGAAGTGCAACCGACCGAGTTCTGGGGGTCTTTACGCATCACTGGAACCCCCAAAATGTACTTTTTCCACCCTGTCTTTTTCTAAGGATGAACACGACACAAAGATACTTTAATGAGGATTGTTCTCGCAATACAGCAGCCTCATTTACAACATCACCAAGGAGACGTGGTTAGGAGAAGCGGACGTTTAACATACCTTTACAATCACTGAACACAACATGTTTTAAGACCCTTTAACGTACATTTGATTTGCAATTAATTTCAGGAATGACTACAAATTACATGCAGATTTTTCACACATAGTAACGTGCTGGTTTGTAAACTCTGAGAAGTGCAGCCGACCGAGTTCTGGGGGTCTTTACGTATCGCTTGCACCCCAAAAATGTACTTTTTCCATTCTGTCTTCTTCTAGTTATTAACATGGCTTACACGATACAATGATACTCTGAGGGGAAATGTTCTTGCAGTACAGCAGCCTCATTCACAACATCAGCAGGGAGACATTTTTAGAAACGGACATTTAAAATCACTGAAGACAACATGTTTAAAAAACTTTAATGTACATTTGATTTGCAATGTAACTGCGTATTTCATTCAGCTTTGAATACAAATTACTTAAACATTTTTCACACATAGTAACGTGCTGGTTTGTAAACTCCGAGAAGTGCAACCAACCGAGTTCTGGGGGTCTTTATACATCACTTGTCCTCGCAGTGTTTGAACGTACTTTTCCCTTCTTGTCTTTAAAATATAATCATGTGTCTGACCCCTGAATTATTCCAACGATCATCATGGATTTCGCAATACGATGACACTTTATTATCTGGAATTGTTCTTGCAACACAGCAGCTCCATTTGCAACATCAAGAAGTACAAATATTTAAGGCAAGAAATGAGGAAACATTACATAACAGTCGCTGATGTTCAAGACCCTTTAGCGTACATTTGATTTGCAATGTAACTGCGTATTTCACTTCAGGATTGAATACAAATTGCTTGCAGATGTTTCACACATAGTAACGGGGGAAGTGCAACCAACCCTGTTCTGGGGAACTTTACGCATCACCTGCCCCCCAAAAGATGACTCAGAGCGTGGGGTGTTTGAACGTACTTTCCCCCTCTGTTTTTAAAATATGATCATGTGTCTGAACCCCTGAAATGTTCGAATGATTATCATGTGGGCTGACACGGTATGAGGACACTTTGACGGGAATTGTTATTGCAACACAGCAGCTCCATTAGCAACATCGAGAAGTACAAATATTTAAGGCAAGAAACAAGGAAACGTTACACAACAATCACTGAACCTGTTTAAGACCATTTAATGTACATTTAATACGGGGTTAAATTCATTTAAGATTGGCTACAAATTGCGTGCAGATTTTTGAGGTGCTGGTATGTCCAGCCAGCGCTATGTGAGTTCTTTACGCATCACTTGCACCCCCAAAATGACTCAGAGTGTGGGGTGTTCAGAAGTACTTTCCCCCCCTGTCTTTCAAATATAATCATGTTTGTTTCCCCAGAATATTTCTAATGATTGTCACGGGGGCTGACACGCACAATAATACTTTTCTGGGAATCTGTATTGCAACACAGCAGCTCCATTTGCAACAACAAGGCATCGTCTCTTGAACTTTATGCATCACCTGACCTCCAAAGTGTGTGGTGTGTTATGATGTCCATTTTCCTGTATTTAAAATATAAACATGTGTCAATCACCCGAATGCTTTAAGTATGAAACCTAAATGATTACACGATACCAGAATCAGAATATCTTTATCGTCCTTGTACTCAACGACATTTCACAGACTTCTGAGGCAAGAGGTCATTAAATGTTAATTAAATGAACACATTTGAATGTTATATGTTGTTGGCAAGCCGTGTTCACTGTGTGTTACTTCAGACACTGGCTTTGATATTAAAACAACAGCAAGCTAGAGAAGATGTCAGGATCCACGTCACTGCAACGTCCCATCTCCTAGACCCCTAAATGGCTATTTCATAAAGGTAGAAACTAGAGGGCGGCAGGAAGTGAAGGAAAGAACTAGTTTTCACTCTTATTGCAGGTGCGATATGATTCGTGATCTCAGAGGGATTCATCATTTCTGGAACCTGTTCATCGAAAAGTGTGTTGAAATGACCATAGTGTGATTATTTTAATTATTCTCTCCAGCTCGAGAATACATTCAGATATTTTCCGCACTTTTTGAATCATAAAAACATAATCGGGTCTGTAGACATGACTCCATTTGTCCAAGTACGTCCAAAGGCCTCACGGAACCCTAATGTTGTGTTCAGGGTCCTGGATCTACTGAACTCAGTTTTTTTAGCTTCCTACTTCTATGGCTTTTTCTCGTTATATGGAATATACTGTATAATATATATAAGATATGATATAACACACGTTTTGTCTTAACCACATTTTGCCATTGCCATGCTGCACTTGTCCAAAATGCCATTTCGAGTCAAACTGCAATTGAATGTTAGAGTTTTCTATTAAACGAGACCAGTTTTGGATAACATACCCACCTCTTGCATCTTTACACTCTGAGTGAGTGAATCTGCATCTCCTCCCCCTCGGTTCTGGCTCCGGGCCGGGGTCAGGGGTCGGGAAGGGAGGGGGGGTCGGGATCTGTCAGGGGTCGAGGACTCTGGGCTGGGCAGGAGAGGAGCTGATGAAGGGCCCGGCGGCTCCGAGGCCCTCAGGTCAGCCGGACCAGCGTTTAATTGGTCTAACGAGAGGCAGCCTTGGATAGGTCGGAAACACAGCGCATTGTGGGTCAGGAACAGAAAGGGCTGCAGTTTTTGAACTTCACTTAAGTTAAAGATATTATTAGTGATGTGGGAAACCTTTAAAAGGGTTAAATCAATTATGTTTTCATTATTTGGCTTGATTTGGAGTACATTTTTTCTTCAAAAGTCGTTGTGGAGTGTAATGAAGTACAGTTGTTATGTTATCTCACCTTACGAGTACTTTTAGTTTTGGTACCATACGTTTATTTTGATGCAAGTACTTGTAGTTAATATCTCGAAGGCAAGACCTTTAATTGAGTAATTTAGCATAAAAGTACTTCTTCCACCTCTTTTCAAAAGTCAGACACCGTTGCCTGAATACAAAATAAAGAGATCTAATATCCCAGGGGTTTAAATGTATTTAATTTCACTGCCTTTTACGTTTTAAATTGTTCTTATTTAACATAATTATTTGCACAATTGACGTATCATGCACAAATATATAGCATATATTTCCTGATCATTAACAGACTGACATTCATGTAGCTCTGCAGTGTTTCACAATAAAGTGGCTGTAAACGGAATAATATAAGACCAGTTAAATTACAATATTGTGTCTGTATCGATATTTTCATTAACATTTAGATTTTTTTTTTGGTGGAGTTAATTATAAGCATGCAGTAAAATAAGATCATTTAAAGTTGATAACCCCCCGGATTATTAACTGTTTTAACCGACAGCCCCTCTCCGTGCTGCGGAGCTTGGCAGCCCCTCATGAAGCCCCTGTTTCCCGGAGTAAAAAGCCTTTCTCTCCTGAAAGAGTTAATCTGAAGTTGGCAGCCAACTCTCTCAGACGTGCGGAGAATAAAAAAATAAAGGCTTCAAAATCATTCCTTTTGTCTCTGTTTAAATCGAGCTGGACTGTTTTGTGCATCACTTTTCCAAAATGCAATCGACGCTTTTGCAACAGAACAAGGGGCGTAAAAATCACAATCACCAAAATACCATAACGGCATGATAATTAAACCTACCTAATTAAGCTATTTGTTTTAAAAAGGCACGATTTGTGGTGTTTTTAATAAGAGGATAAGACACAAAAAGGTCCAGATCTTAACACCTATAATATTGAATATGTATTCATGCGTCCTCCGGGTCATGCGAGGCCTGACACGTTCATCACTCGGTAGAAAAACATTTTAAACAGATTTTTCCATGTGTTTCGTTTTAATCGACGTCGGGTTTTAGTTTCGATGCCAGCCACTCTCTTTTTTATATCCATGTTATTCCTGGCACCCTCCGTCCATGATGTCTTCACTCTTTTTTTATTCATATTTCAAGAAGAGAGAGGAAAAGTGATGGCGCATTTTTAATAGTTTGGCTGAGTGTTCCCGTCTTATTAACGGATCATGTGTGTGGGAACAAGCAGAGGAACATGTACTAAAGGACTTTAAACGGGTGAGTTTATTAGAGAGGGTTTTATTGATCACTTACAGGCCCAATAATCCACATCGTGTTGACGGGACTCTGTTTTATCTCTGGGGCTTTTACGGTGAAAATATAACACGCCGGAAACGCGATTTTGTTTGTGGGGCACGCGAACCGCTATTCCGTGCACGTGTGGAAATATCATTAAGTAAACAGCGACAGATAATTCGAAACAAACGCAAATTAAAGCTGGAGGCCTTCATTTAATTCCCAGGTGATATTATTACTTGCTTTGACAGCATGAATAAGGTTTTAATAAAGCAAAGTTAGTGAGACAGTTAGTACAGAGGAGACATGCACATATAATTTCACCCACAGAGGCTCTGGATGTTTCCACTGCCTCCAGAAACAATCTGCATAACAGTTATTCCGGGATGCTTTGAGTCCCTTTTCTCTGCATGTGGAAGGCAAACAGCATAGCTAAGGAAAATGACTTAAACCCCCTTGTAGTCAAATTGCAGTGACATGTGAATGCTGCTTTATTTGCATTTTGGCAGGGTCACCCAGAGAGACTTAATGTGAGCAGCAGACACACAAGGAGACGCGTTCAAGTGTTTGTGTGAATTGCAAAAAAAATCCTTTATCCTTTATTTGAGTAAAAGTAGAAATACTAATTGGAAATACTCACAAATACTCCGTTACTTGAGTAGAGCAACAAAAGTATTATTAGCTAAGTGTATCAAAAGTAAAGGTACATATGCAGACGGGCTCCTTCCACAGTATTTTAATATGATAGAATATATATATATATAATCCTGTTTTTATCACAAAAAATTGATGTTATCATTGTAGGTTGTCAATATTAGATACTTTCATTGTAATAATATGAATTTATTATGAAGAAAGTAGTAACTTTGAGTGTTAAATGAGTAAAAAGTACAATATTTGCAGTGTTTTGGAAGTATAAATTAGCATCAAATAGAAATACTTTGGTACAACTTTCTCAAATGACTACCTAATTACAGTCCTTGAGTTAATGTACCTACCTCCACTGCTATTGCAGGTGTTGATGGGTAAATAACTATATTTATCTCTTCTCACACACACACACACACACACACACACACACACACACACACACACACACACACACACACACACACACACACACACACACACACACACACACACACACACACACACACACACACACACACACAAGCTTCCCTTTGTGTGGAGGTGTGTGTCCGCTGTGTGAACAGATGATGGCTGTGAGTCGGTGTTTAATTTCAAGATGAAGCTGAAATATATTTGCGATTGTCGTGCGGTCGGGATGTTTATTAGTGAGAGAATAGAGTGGGTATTGTTCGGGCGTGTGTGCATTGTTTGCATAATGCCATGTCGCTTTGGTGAGAGGAGAAGGTCAATAACCTCGGTCATTATTTAAAGACTTACACTTCCTTGGCATAAGCTCTGGCTTTTCTCTTTGGCAGTTTGTCATTTTCTTAGAGCTGCAGCTAACCATCGTTTTCATTATAGTTTATCTGATGCTTACGGTCCCGATTTATCCTTTTGTCTATAACCTCGCACACTGTGCCTATACGGATTTTCCAGGTGCTCAGTTTTGTGTGAAACGAGGCCAGGAACGTCAGATCTGTACGGCTTGTTGGTGCTTTTGCTTAGAAATAACTGTAACGGCAGGCTTTTAATCAAAACAGTTGCCAGTGCATTTTCTGTTGTTGGAATAATGGACTGCTATTTCAATTAGTCTGTCCATTATCTTCTTTGAAATCGGTTGGTGGTTTTCGAACACAGTGTTTCCCAAAGCACAAGAGAACGTCCTCAAATGTCCCGTCCACAACTTGGTGCTTTACTGTCTTTAAAGAATAAAACAACCCGGGAAATATTCACATTGAAGCAGCTCGAGGCGGAGAATTGTAAAGTTTCTTCCTTTGAAAAATGACCTGAAGCCAATTCATGGATTAGCAATTAATGTAATAAAGGATTTCAACCAATGGATAGAATTTGATTTGCTTGATTTGTGACCATCCGTCCTCAACAGATACTCAGTTTTGTGTCACACACGGCGAAAGGATTGTTGAGACGTCGGACCTAGAAACCAGTTTGGTGTTTTTGCTTAACGATCGGTCGATAATTAAAATAGTTGCCGTTGGATTTTCTGTGGATGGAATAATCCGGTTGCTCTTAATCTGTCCAGTCATTTCTTTATGAATTGCTTAGTGGTTTGGCCATGACGTGTCAGAAACTGGTGAAACATGTCGATCAGTGTTTCCCAAATGTCTTCTTTTTGATATTTAGTTTAATGTCATAAAGCAGTCTTTGATCTCATTCATGAAGTCCATAAGATACTCGAAAACTTGGGTAAAATTTGTATTTAAGGCAAAATATCAAATGTTTCGTACTTTAACAAACTCCTCCTAGAGATTTGATCAGATTGACTTCAAATGTGGTCCGTAGCATCTCAACACCTGACAGATATCAAAATCTTTTTTTTTAATCTTTCCATTATTTGTCTTAATTTCTATTGGCTAATGGTTTGGTTGATAACATTTCAAAGACTAAGATCAAATCCTTTACTGTCTTCTTTTGTCTTCCAAAGATATTCAGTTTACCGTCTGTAAAGAAACTAGAAAACGTTGATACATCTTTACCAGGCTGCCATCTTTGAATGCAACCCTGAATCCGAAACTCATTGCATTATAACTTTTGTATTATTCATGCCAAAGGAAAGCAGCACATCCACATTGTTGTGAACCCGGACACTAGTTTGGTATTTCTTCTTTATAAATGTGTCGATTATCCAAATATTTGCAGTTTATTTTTTGGTTAATCGACTAACCCGATCAGCTCTACTCCCTCCACTCCATGTAGTGTTAATGGATCAAGTCCTAGATGACATCGTAGAGGTCTGTCGCCTTGTTTTGACCGTGCTCTAAGATACAACTCCCTTTTATTGATTAGTTTGGAGCCCAGCCCAGCGTTGGTGTGATCCAGCAGCACTTTAGCTCCAGACTCTCTGTCTGTGTGGCAGGTGCGACTCTGAATGACACGACGCCACGACCAGGCAACACGGCAGCCCTCGCCAAAACCCTTTAGGGGGGTCGTTGTTCCGAAGAAACACCACAAATGTGGGTTCTGGATTTCGTGTGAGACGTCAAACACTCAATCCTGAATGTCCTCGTCCAACATGAGAGCAACATGCTAACAGAGGTATCCCAATGACAGGATGTGTGATTACCTAGAAGAGCATCAGGACTGTTTGAGGCATATGATAGCTATGTGATTAACATGATGATTCAGCCTCTATGGAGAGAGACATATGACAAGCATGATCATTTCTGACGTGGAGATAATCTGAAGTAAACATTGAATACTGCTTTCTATTCCTCCATCTTGTGACTGGGTAACTCCCTCTCTTGGATATCAGCATGTGAAGGACACTGTTCAGGAACTAGTTGATGCTCTGTATGTGATGACTACTTCCATTCTGGAGAGGATCACAGATACATGGATCCTGAGGTTCAAGCTCAAGCCGGGGACCAGGGATTATTAACATTTTTAAGTAATTCAGAAAAAGTCAGATTTTGAGAAAAAGTCATAATTTTGAGATTTTTGAGAAAAAGCCAGAATGTTGAGATTTTTTTAGAAAAAGACAGAATTTTGAGATTTTTTTGAAAAAAATAGAATGTTGAGATTTTTTTTAGAAAAAGCCAGAATTTTTTGATTTTTTTGAAAAAGCCAGAATTTTTTGATTTTTGAGAAAAAGCCAGAATTTTGAGATTTTTGAGAAAAGTCAGAATTTTGAGAAAAAGTCAGAATTTTGAGATTCTTTAGAAAAATACATAATTTTGAGATTTTTTAGAAAAAGTCAGAATTTTGAGATTCTTTAGAAATATACATAATTTTTAATTTTTTTTTGAAAAAGACAGAATTTTGAGAAAAAGCCAGAATATGACAAGCATGATAATTTCTGACGTGGAGCTAATCTGAAGTAAACATTGAATACTGCTTTCTATTCCTCCATCTTGTGACTGTGTAACTCCCTCTCTTGGATATCAGCATGTGAAGGACACTGTTCAGGAACTAGTTGATGCTCTGTATGTGATGACTACTTCCATTCTGGAGAGGATCACAGATACATGGATCCTGAGATTCAAGCTCAAGCCGGGGACGAGAGATATTTTCCCGGTGAGCGTTTCCGTGACGTTCGATACCCTGAAATCCTCAGACCTCTAAATCATGTCGTCACCGATGTGTGTGAACGGCGCCTCTTTGTTTGCGCTGGTAAACCCAGGAGCAGCTGCCGGTGGAGGGTCTGCAGGGAAGTGTGTGTCCTCTCTCTGCCATCCTCTGCCAAGGTGGCATTATGCAAGGGGGAGAAAGAGAGGGGCGAGACAGACAGAGAGGGATTGGGGGGGGAGGCGAGGGTGATGGCGGCCATCGTAAAGATGGAGGAGGGCTGCAGGAGAGGACGTGCTCCCTTGAACTTTGCCTCGGTGTCAGAGTGGAACTTGTCGATTTGGCAAATTGTGCGACGTCGGACAAGGCGGGCGCTCTCCCCTACACTCCCACCTGCTCTCCCCCCTCTTTATCTCCCCCCACTACACCCACCCCCTCTCTCTCTCCTCTTTCTCTTTCCCCTCCCTTTCAGCTCTTGAAGCTAACGCATTGGCTGGGCTACAGGCGTCTTGTTGCCAAATAGGTGGGCCTTATATCGGCGTTGGCAGCGGCTCAAGCGATGGTTAGGGAAAGAGCGCGGAGAGGACGAGAGACGGCGAGCGAGGCAGAAAGGGAGAGAGAGAGAGTTGGAGAGAAAAGGGGAAAAAAGAAGCGGCACTCGGCTCTGCCAGCGGTCGTATTCGCTCGTCCAACATTGATTCGGCTCTCTGGTTTTTTTCTATTCTGCTCTCCCTGGCCCCCCCATCTGTGTGTGTGTGTGTGTGAGAGAGTGTGTGTGTGTGTGTGAGCCTTGCGCCGGGCCCAGGGATCAGAACAGACACCACTTACACTTTGCCAAGGATTTTTTTTTTTTTTGTCAAGGTTCATTTTTTTTTTTTTTTTTTTGGAAAGCACAAAGGACTGGTTATTTTAAGTCCTTCTATTTTTGAAGTCGTTTCAAAAATAATGCATTACTGTTAAAAATAACTATTTTTACTCGACAAGTTTTTATCTTTTTTGGTGTTTTTGTGTGTAATGAGCTTCTGGCTGTGATCCCATCACAGTGAATTTTCCTCGTCCGATTACATTTTTTCTTCGGTTTTTAAACTTTGCCCCGGTGCTTTTTCACTGAGCAGCATATTCCGCTAATTATTTTTTACAACCTCCCCAAGTTTTTTTTTTTTTTCATCTACTAATTCTCCACAGCGTGCCAAGGCAGCGTTTACATTGGGGAGCGCGGGAGAAAGAAAAAAAAAAAAAAAAACTGGTGCAGGAGATTTTTTTTTTCACTTTAAACGCTGTGCCAAATTTATGATGAGAGTGCAAAATGGTAACTACCAGGCCGTCTGTCTTCCTGTAGCCGTGTGGTTTTCTTTCTGCCTGCTTTCAGTGTGTAGTGGAAATGTGAGTCTGGTTGCAGCTCCCATTGCATGGTCGCTCAGATAGGAAATGGTATGGCTGATCTGTTAGCGGCACATTTCAACAGTGGTCTCGTGGCGAAGCGTCCGGTGTGCGGCCCCCCCGGCACGGGAGCGCTGTGGCGAGATCTGGGCTTTGTTGCCCAGAGATATGTAGTGAAGGTATTACGGAGCAGCACAATAACTTTCTCTTTTAGCTGGAAGGAAAACTGGGAGCGCAACTTGGCTCAGCTTTCCCGTTTTCAGTTCTGTGTCGTCCTGAATGTCTCTGTCTTTATTTAGGAAAAGGAGGCTTTGCATTTTACTGTTGGGATTCATGTTCTTGCTAATTGATGTATACCGTACATTTTTTAATTTAATTTCTGTGGGAATTTATAATCTTTTTAATTGTATATTTATTTCAGTTTTAATTTTCATTTATTCAACAATTAAAATGTTTGTTAATTGCTTTATTTTTTGTATGTTTTAATTGATATTTTATGCTTTATAATTGTAAATAACTATTTAATGTTTTGACGTATTTAAAGAGAAGATTATTTAAATGTATTTTGGGAATTTTGCAAATATTTATATTTAATGAACTTGCATTTAAAATAATTTTACAAACAATAATCATATACATATTTTTAATTATCACATATTTAGTAAATTGTCACCATGGCCTCCTTTTCAATTAAATTGTTTTGAAATGCTTAATTGTAAGCATTTGCCGTTTTTCAAAGTAAAAGCCTTTTCTCCCTCCTAACACCCTCTCCCTCTCTCTCTCTTTCCTCAGGATGAATTTCACCCCTTCATCGAGGCCCTCCTCCCCCATGTGCGTGCCTTCTCCTACACCTGGTTCAACCTGCAGGCCCGCAAGCGCAAGTACTTCAAGAAACACGAGAAGAGGATGACGAAGGACGAAGAGCGCGCGGTGAAGGACGAGCTGCTGGGCGAGAAGCCGGAGATCAAGCAGAAGTGGGCGTCGCGCCTGCTGGCCAAACTCCGAAAGGACATCCGGCCGGAGTTCAGGGAGGACTTTGTGCTCACCATCACGGGGAAGAAGCCCCCCTGCTGTGTGCTGTCCAACCCCGACCAGAAGGGGAAGATCCGGCGCATAGACTGCCTCCGACAGGCGGACAAAGTGTGGCGCCTGGACCTGGTGATGGTCATCCTGTTCAAGGGGAGTCCGATGGAGAGCACGGACGGAGAGAGGCTGGTGAAGTCTCCGCAGTGCTCCAACCACGGACTCTGTGTGCAGCCGCATCACATCGGGGTCGCCGTGAAGGAGCTGGACCTCTACCTGGCCTACTTCGTGCACTCGCCAGGTACACACACACACACACACACACACACACACACACACACACACACACACACACACACACACACACACACACACACACACACACACACACACACTCTGTTTGTTTTCGAGATGTTTTTGTTTTTAAATAGTCGTGGTGAAAATGTTTCCGTTAGACCGGCCCACTTTCTCTGAGGAAAATATGACACATTTAGAAATGGGAATATTAGGTTTGTTAGAAATAATATATTTACTCAAACAAGGATCATTCTTTGTCGAACTAAATAGCAACATGTAAAATATTGAAGCTAAATTAACATAATTATATTAAATCATTAACAATGTGTTTTAATGCCAAACAATGGAAAACATGAAGCTTATATTTAATAAATGTATTATTTATTGTTTGTTATTTATTATGTATTTTAATCTGATCAAATGCTATTCTCATTACTAGTGTCACCGCACTGAGAACAGAACAGATATGAATTACATATTAATCACTTTGGGCAGTTTTCATGTAATTCTGTTTTTAAAATAAAAATACATTTCAACCATATTTAGAGTAATACTTATACATAATGGAGAAATACAATAATAACAAGAAAGAGTAAAAAACTAAAGAAAGGGAGGTCAGAAAATAAAAGAAATTGAGTATTATTGAAAGTGTGTCTGAATCTCATATTCCCAGACGCTCGGACCCTAAATGTGTTTTTTTTGGGTTAATATTCCAATTATCTTCCACTTTGCACGTTACCTCAGTCTGTGTCCGAGGGTCAGGTGACTGCAGGTGGAGTCATGTGACCTCCTCCTCCCTTTTGGCAGGGAGTGTTTACCTCAGCGCTACTCCTGACCCACAATGCACTGGGGCCACCGGCGGCTCAGACTAACTCCTGGAGCCCCGTGGAGGAAACCCCTCTCACTGCTCTCTGACCGATGTGTGTCACATTTTACTATATACTTTCTCATATTAATATGCAGTATTTGATTTGGTTTAAATTACTGTAAGCATGCAGTCATTTTCTTCGTCTTATCTTAAATAAAATAGTTTTTGTATTTTTGTATTTCCTGCTTGCTCAAAAGGCTTTCGGAGGTGGAAGGCTCTTGATTGGTCTGTTCAACACTTTGCATATAACACTAGAAAGCGTGTAAGTATATAAGAGTTAGGAGAAACCTTTAAATAACAAACAGCTCGTATCGGGTCTGAGCGTCCTGCAGGCTGTGAAGGGTTAACCAGGGGTCACAGGCAGAGGCTCCTTTCTAACCTTTGGGGGGGGGGGGGTGGGGGGGGCAGCAAGTGTCCCCAGTGTATTCATAGCTTCCACGTGGTGTGATGTGGTGGGTTGTGTTGTGAGTGGGTGTGTGGTGTGTGTGTGTGTGTGTGTGGTGTGTGTGGTGGTGTGTGTGGGTGTGTGTGTGTGTGTGGTGTGTGTGTGTGTCTTTTGTGGAAGCGTTCCCAGTGCCAGGAGCCCTGATGATTGGAACCGCGGTCGTCCCCGTGTCACTTCTCCTATCCCGCGTCACCAAGCTGCTGGAGGGGTGTTTGTGTGGGTGTGTGTCTGTGGTGTGTGTGTGTCCTGTGTGTGTGGCTGAGGGTGCAGGTGTTTCGAGCAGTGGATGTGACAGAATATGAATGCCAACACACACATTCCAGGATGTGTCTCTGCCGCTTTTGTCCAATTGATAGACAGCGAAAGATCACCTTCAGCTGCAAAGCAATAGCTCCACTGACACAATAACATGGGCTACACACACACCAACACACACAACACACACCACACACACACAACACACACACACACACACCCACACCACACACACACACACACCACAACACACACCACACACAACCCTCCCACAGCTTGGTGACAGCGGACACGGAGAAGTGACACGAGGACGACCGCGGTCCAATCAACTTCAGCCTCTGGCAAATGACGCTTCCCACACACACACACACCACAAACACACACACACACACACACACAACACACACTACACACACAACAACAACACACAGTGTCCTCTAAAGGTGCCTCCCTCTCTCGCACGGACCCGAGCACTGTGAATGATATCAGGGATGTGGAGAAGTCGGTTGATGGGATCTGATCTCATCCTTTGAGCCACATTTTTTTGAAATTCAAAGGTTTTAATGTCGGTGTGACAACAGCGGTCATTTAGTTATTTGGACGATTTTGCAAAAGAATGTTTCTCT